CATATTTCCATGGCGCTCCGCGACAAAGCCCAAATTCGCCTTGAGAGTTCTGCATGGCCTTCGTGTGCCTTGGAAGCATGTCGATGAGATTTCGTGCATTTGAACATGCAGATGCAGACTTTCCGATGGATGGTTCTGGATCCATCATTTTGACCTCGGCAGCGGGCGCGTCAATGTTTCGCACCTTACCCCACCTTTACTTGGGATGATATGCTTGACGTTTGCCAGAGAACGATTGCCAGTGAGTCTGCGCATGTCTCCGAGGGATGCGTGACTCGTGCGCCGAACATAGTTGGAGTGTCGTCAGCCGTTGAGGGATAATGAGGTTTGTAAAACGGCGGTTTTTCTAGCGTGGCGATTACCAACCCGTCGGAACAAGGGGTAATTAGAAAACAAGCTTTGAGGGGTAAGGTCGAAATCTCCATGCTATATCGACGAAGGAAGATAATTTGAGGGGCATTTGGGACCTGTTTATTGTTCACCGAGATGCAGCGTCGCGAGCTATTTCAATTGTCCTGCGTGGAACCCAAAGACAGGTCGGAGGGCAAATGTGCAGATGAACTATCATCGCTAGGGGTCGCACTCCGACCGGTAGGTCTGAGATGCTGCACCTGTCGCATCCAGTGACAGCCCGTCGGTTCGAATGGAGGAGCGGGAGATGTGCTCTTTGGAAACTTTGATAGCTGCTACTTCCCTGTCTGTAAAGCTTAAAACGGGAGAGCTTCGCGTCCCCCCAAAGCTTGTAGAGCTTCAATTTCTTGGCTGTTGGGGAATCTACTCGCCTCCGCATGGTTGAAAACCTCTTTTAGTCCAGGTAAAGCCGCCCATTCTCTCGTTATGTTGCCGCCTTCTCGTGTGCTTCGGCGGTAACCAACATTGGCCATATTCAGATTACGCACCCATTATGAGGCTCTCCACACTTATCGCGTCACTGTTCGCAGTACAAGTGCTCGGTTTCCCTTTTGAGGCTTGCAAAGGAGACAAAGGTCGCAAGCCTGATGGTTCGCGCAGTGGTTCGCGCGGAAACAAGCCTGGAGGGGTGGGCGGCGGAGGAGGAGGCGCGGGTGGCGGAGGTGGACGAAGGAACGCCAGCCATCCCACCAACGGAAGCACTCCTATGAACGGACAGCACCGCAATGTTCTATATGTTACAAACTGGAGCATATACGGCGCTGGGTACAACCCCGATAACATTCCCATCGACAAGATCACGCATGTGCTTTATGCGTTTGCAGACATCCAGCCGAACGGAACCGTGTGAGTGACGCAGGCAGCGATTAATCGTATTGGCACATTCGGTGATGCTAATATGTCTAGGGTATCATCCGATCCATGGGCTGATACTGGAAAGTCTTTTGGCAAAGACAAGGTGTCAGAGCCCGGCAACAATGCCTATGGTTTAGTGAAGCAGCTATACATGAAAAAAATGGCCAACAGGCAATTGAAGGTCATCATGTCAATCGGCGGATACAACTGGTCTCCAAAGTTTGCCCCTGTCATTGCAAATGAGAAGCTGAGGGCCAACTTTGTCGCCTCCTCTGTCAAGATGGTTGCCGACTTCGGCTTGGACGGGTTGGATGTTGACTATGAATATCCGAACACCACCGAGACGAGTGCGAATACAGTCAAGCTGTTGTCCGAGCTTCGAACAGGCCTCGATCAGTACTCGGCCAAATATGCCAACGGCTATCATTTTACGCTGGGATTCGCCGCGCCGGCTGGGCCTCAGAACTACGCCAAGCTGGACTTCAAAGGCATGGACAAGTCCCTCGACTTCTGGTCCCTGATGGCCTTCGATTTTGCCGGGTCGTGGGAGAACACTACTGGCCATCAGTCGAATGTCTTCACAAGCAAAAAGAAGCCCTTGAGCACCAGAGCCAGCATTGATAAGGCCGTGAAGGATTACACGAAGGCTGGCATCCCTGCTCGGAAGATCAACCTCGGCATGCCGCTTTATGGCCGTGCTTTCAGTAACACCAAGGGCATGGGACAATCGTACCGCGGCCTGCCAAACGGAACCTTAGCCCAGGCCGGTATCTTTGTCTACAAGGATCTCCCTCGCCCCGGATCTAGGGTTGTCTGGGACAACGTGGTCAAGGCAACCTACTCTTATGATAATCGCACGCAGCAATTGGTCTCGTATGATGATCTGAAGAGTGCCCTGTACAAGCAGGAGTACATCAAGAAAAAGAAGCTTGGAGGTGCCATGTTTTGGGAAGCATCTGGGGACAAAATGGGAGATGAGAGCATCGTCCGCAATATGGCAGATTGGATGGGCAAGCTTGATCGCTCGAAGAACCTGATCTCTTATCCGGTTTCAAAGTACGACAACATTCGCAATAACATGAAGGGACGCAACACTACTTCCAACACCGCTAAGCCAACCGGGCCCAAGTAAGCGACTACACAATCGTTGCAACGCAAAAATGGTGGCAGCCCATATTGAAGTCGTGTGATGAGCAAGCAGTCAAGCCATATGGAAGGAGGGATCTGACCCGTTCGCTAATCAGGAAACAAATAACTTCACTTCTTTGTAAATACTATTACATGATAATACCAGCTTCTCTGAATTTATCAAACGCCTCTAGCCATCCTTCGGTCGGATCTCTCTCGTCCGAAAATCCCACAGAACGGAGCCGCTCCAAGCTGAGCTGTCGGTCAAAGGACAGCCAGTATCCCACGCTGTCAAGTTGAGACGCTCCGGCACCCACGCCCGAAGAAGAGGCTTTCGGGAAGCCCTTCTCCGCGAAGACATGTTTGTGCTTTTTTATGTATTCGCCGGGCTTCAGAGCCTGATCATCCCCGACTGGGTCCACGCCCTTCAGCCCAAACCACTTGGCGAGCGCGGGCCATATCTGTCGAAATTTGGTCGGCTTCTCACTGTCGGCCATGTTGATGATCTTTCCGCCACATTTGTCCGGATTCAGCGAAGCATGAACAGCGATGCGGCCCAGTGTGCGAGAGGACACCGGAGTGAAGAGGCTGTTGTAGCCTGCTTCGTTGCCAGGAAACGGGACCTCTACCAAAGGCTCTGTTGTGCCATCAACGCCGTGATTGTGAGCATACAGTGAGAGGTACTGAGCCCAGTGCAAAGCAAGAGACCACCCGGATCCATTTGGAGTGAAACCCACAACCGCATCCGGGCACACTTCTGTCCACGTCCAGCTCTTGCCCTCGCTAGCTTTGCCTAGAAGCTGCCTGTACCAGGGATAGGCGACCGTCTTGGCATAGTCCTCAGGAAGGCTGTCCGCCATTGACTCCTTCAGCGGAGCTTGGAACGTTCCTCCGGGGACGTATATGCCATAGCCCTAGAACGGTCAGTTTCTAAATCCTATTGTTGGGCAGTTTCCACGCACTCTTGTTCCGCCAGGGTAGATGAAGGACTTTAGCCCAGGCGACAGAGACGTGATGGCGTCAACCACACGCTGCATCATTTTGCAATTGGTCTGGCACTCCAGAATATGATCGTCGTTAACCTCCTTGAACACTGTAATTCTGTCAGGAATACCGATTTCGTCCACCGCAACGGAAAGCTGTCTTACCAAAGTAAAAGACATGGGTGACGTCAGCTATCCCATGGACTTTCTCCTTCAGTTGTCTGGATAAGTCTTCGGCAGTGCCGTTCATCAAGTTTACCCCGGAGACTATCTCCAACCTGGGCTGGGTCGCAGATTCCGGTGGCCAGTAGAACTCTGACTTGGGCAGCGGGCGATTAATCACTGCAGTGATCTTATCGAATGATCCCTCAGCGGGGTAGTTGGAGAGCAGCTGTTCCACGGTTGACCAGCCGACTAGGCCAGCTGCGCCGAAGACTATTGCATGGTTGAGGTTCGACATGATGCAAATTGTTCAAAAAGCTTTGTTTGAACACTTCAATTTTTGCTGCAGGTCCGGGCTCTCGAAAGACTGGTTTGTTGGAGGTTATTTAGATCATGGTCAATAAATGAAAGAGGTTGAAGAAGCTTGACTAGTGCTCTAGAACGAAACGAGCTTAGGGGCTCCCTTAAGTGCCTATGAACTAATTTGATGCGCTAGTGGCGCTGAGCCATTATGAATCATAGCTCGTCATCCGGCTTCTCGAACACAAAAAAGTACGAATGTCCCCCATTGCTATTGCGCGTAGCTCATGTCAATCCTTGAGCGGTAGCAATTGCATCCACGTCTGGGCGGTTTTAACGGAGCCTGCTGTACCTCCGTTAAATTCATCTGTAAGATTCATGTCTCCAAAGATACTACCTCGGTCCTCCGCAGGGGTAACCGAACCAGAGTTTGGTGAGCTTTACGAACTCGACCAACCTATCATATTCTTGTATTGAAACAAATGCTATCGAATCTTTGGTAGTCTTTACAAGCTTTACCGGCAGAGCAGACACTTTCAGTACTCCTCTTGGGGTGTGCAGATGTCCTTTCAATGCACAATCTTTCTTCCCTTCTAACTTTTTCTTCGCAGTTTGCCGCCTGGAGGCGCACCTTGTTGACTGCCGTATGACTCTCACGGGGAAATATTCGAGGGCCAGGATGGCTCACAGAGAAACACTCTGAGAGCTCAGTCTACTACATGTCAGCCCTCGCCAGCTGTCACCAGGCTCACTGGCAGGGCTAGGGATTCAACACGCGTCTCACTGATCGGCCCTGAACATTCCTTAATCACAAAGATCACATCTACGGAACTAAGGACACCGACGAAAGATCAAAGTAATGGTGACCGAAACACAACCCAAGGAAGAACACACGGCCAATCGGCAACCTCCCTCGGTGGGAGACGGACTGGCGCCGGGTGTAGTGGCCAATGATATAGTTTCCTCGGTCGCAACGGAGTGGGTCTTCCGACCGCCGTGTCCATCCCGCGTCCGCTCCGGCTACCAGTATTGCAAGCCCGCAACAATACTCCATCTTCTTTTCCAAAATAATTTCGCCTCACTTCTTTCTCAGAATTTTCACAAACAACAACTTGTCCGAGAGTTATAACAGGATTGCGCATCCTGGTGGTTTTGTCTAATATGCTGTCCGGATCTTCCGATCCGACCGGGTCACCTCTCGAGAAAGATACAAACGCCGCGAATCCCGGTACTGAGAATGTCTTTAGCTCTCCCAACAACTCCAGAAACACCGGTGGCGTACTCTTAACCAACGCTAGCACTCGAGTAATTCATGGCTGGAAGGTAAGTAGTCTTCAAGGTGCATCCGTCTCGGATAACATCAACAAAAAACACCTGCTAACAATTATCGTTTCTCCATCCAGTGGGGTTTTGCCTACGCCGCTATGCTTTCCACCACTCTTTTGTTTGCACTTGACAACACCATCGTGGCAAACATCCAGCCCGCTATCATCAACGACTTCGGCCACCTCGAGTTGCTTACATGGATCGGGACAGGCTTCGCGCTAGGCACAATGTTCATCTTGCTCTGGGGTAAGGTCTACGGTGTATTCAATATCAAATGGGTCTACATCCTTAACATTCTCATGTTCGAGGCTGGTTGTGCCCTTTGCGGTGCTGCTCCCAACATCGAGACCCTCATCATTGGTCGTGTCATCGCTGGTGTTGGCGGGTCTGGCATGTGCTCGGGCACCTTAATTTACGTTTCCATTCTGTCCCACGACCAAGAGAAGCTCGCTTACCTTGCCGGTAGCACTGTAACTCGGGTTACCTCTTTGCTGACTCTGTAATTGAACGTTCAGGTCGGCGGCGCATTCGCAGCTAGCAGTGCTACTTGGAGATGGGTATATTGTTTTCGCCACTTCCCCACAGTCACTAACTCAACCGAGGGATTCTACGTCAATCTTCCTATCGGCGCGGTATTTGCGCCGGCCTACTTCTTGCTTTTCCCAAGCGTTGACCCTCACCCTACCAAGAATTCCGAGAGACCCTGCGTATCTCCAAACCAAGGACTCTGAGGGCTTTCCGGGTGTCCCTAATTCCCGCGACAAGCGAGTTCAGCGTGTCATTTGTCCTAAGGGAAAGAAAGCACCTCCTGGATGTAAATAGGCATACGCACAATTCTGATTGAACGATGATGCGCCTTGGCCTGTTCTAGTGCTGAACACTGATGCCCCTATTAAACTTCTTCCCCTTGAGTGCTTTCCCTTATTGAGTCTCCTGAAAGTTATTTGGCTCTGCTTTCTTTGAGGTCTCTTCTTCTGTGGTTTTACCAGCGAATAATGCGTCGTTAAGGGTAGCGTTTCTGCCCGTAGTGTTTTCCGCTCTACTATTGATAAATACAACCCCACGTCGTTCCGTACTGTCGGGACTGTGGGTCAAGAAAAAAATGGCGATTGACTTGGCCAGTCTGGCGCCATTTGAGACCGCACCCAAATTTTCGTCTTCTCCAAAAATTAAACCCGAAAACTCGGCTTCAGAGTCGGAGTCGACCCGACGTCAATTATCTAGGCCTCCACTCTTAGGTCCAGACTCCGCAGAAACGCACACAAACATGCCACCAATTGGTCAATCCTCCGCCGTAAGAGGCTTGGCTGCACTTAAGGTCGTGGGTCCGGGACAAAAGCAACCGGTTCGAACAGGGATTTGGTCGTTGACGTGATAAGCAGTTCGCGGACCGATACGACACTGCAATGGTAGATAAACGTGGGTGGGGGATGAGGTTGCCGGTGGGAGACCATGGATTTCAACGACGTTTTCTCTCGATCAGCGTTTTACTAGAGAAAGTCGCGGGAGAAGCATGGCGGGTTCAAAGGCGACGACTGTCGTCTCCACTGACGCTGCGGCGAGCGATGATGTCCTAGCAACCTCGCTCTCCAGCAAGGCACGAAACCCGACAACACCGGCGACGACAGCGCTACAGGACGACAGCAAATCTGATGATGGTCTGAATGTCAAAGACCCCGAACGAAGCGAGGCAGACGACGAGAGACAGCTCGTGAATGGTGGCGTTGTAATCCGAGACGGCAATGATGTTGCAAGATACGTTGTGTCAACGCAAGATGACGGCGATCGGGCCTGCACCTTTCGATCTTTCATCATTGGATCCGGTGAGGCTCACTCATTATACGAGTCTAAGCATGACGATGTGAGATTGAACAAGCTAACGCCAAAAAGGCCTCACCGCTCTCGCAGCCTGTATCAACCAGATGTGCGTCCAATCCCGGACTCCATGTCAACAAACTGTCCAGTCCGACGGATGCTGACCGGCCTTTCGCAGCTACTTCTACAAACCCGTTGATGTTTCGTTCGCTTCGGTGTGAGTGTTTCGTGCGGACGTTATACCCAGAAGTGTTGTAGTCTTGATCTAACAGTTGAATTTACAGCTTCTTATGTCTAATGGCGTATGTGATCGGCGTAGCATGGTCCGTTGCTCTGCCTCGCCGACACCACGTTGAGAAGTTCCTCCCGTCTCAGGCGAGATGGCTCGGACCAGTTGTTCACTTCATCAACCCTGGCCATTTCGGATTGAAGGAGCACGCGGTGGCTTCAATTCTTTCCACGTCGAGCGGAAACGGTGCTGCAATCGTGCAGGTGTTCGGTGCAGAGCGGCTGTGAGTAAAGTGCGATAGCCGCTGATTCTTCCTGGGCTAACAGATGGTAGATTCTACAATCGAAGCACCGATGCAGCCACCGCTATTCTGACTGTCTTCTCAGCCTCCATCTTCGGATACGGCCTTGTAGGACTCTTGCGCTCGATTCTTGTTCATCGTAAGTCCTTTATTGATCCTGAATAAGTGATCAATCTGGCAATCTAACGCACTACAGCGAGCGAGATGGTTTGGTGGCAATGCCTGCCAATGATTTCCATCTACCAGACACTTCACCGCGATCCCAAGGGCAACAATCGTGAACGCCTCCGCATGTTCGGCTTCACTTCCATTGGCATGTTTATCTGGGAACCGATCGCATCGTACATCTGGCCATGGCTGAACGGCATCTCTATCCCGTGTCTTGCATCGATGAACGCAGCCCCTCCAACCCGAAAGATCTTGATGACCATCTTCGGTGGCATTTCTTCCAACGAGGGACAAGGCATTCTCAACTTTTCCCTCGACTGGCAGTACATCACTTCTCGTTATATGTCGCTTCCGCTGCTGCAGCAAGCCAACTCTTGGGTGGGAATCGTTTTGTCATACATCATGTGCTTTTCGCTCTATTACGGCGGCGCATGGGGTGCAAAGAAGTTTCCGTTCATGTCGACAGCCATGTTTGACGCGAAAACTGGCAAGGTATACAACCAGACTGCTGTCTTTGGCCAGAACGCCATCCTGGATACCGAGGCACTTGAAATACACGGCCTTCCGCGGCTCACTGCGTCGAACGTCTGGGCAAACATGGCGGCGATGGCTGCCATTGGAGCCTTGATCACTCACATCTCACTTTTCTACGGCCCTCTGTGAGTTTGTTGGCCCCGAGTCTTATCTCCGTTAACTGACTTCTGAAGAATCAAGAGATCTTTGATACAAGCTTGGAAGAAGACCGAAACAGACCCTCACTACAAGATCATGCAGGAGAACTACAAGGATGTGCCCATGTGGTGGTATCTTGCGATCCTTCTCGTTGGCTTCTTCACTGGACTTGGGGCCGTCATCAAAGGACACACAACTCTGGATGCCTGGGCTTATGTCTGCGCAATTGTAAGCTTCCCCAACGATAATTACGGACGGTTTTACTGACTTCTTAGCTTCTTGGATGCATCGTTGCGCCCTTCTCGCTTTGCTTGTATGGCCTTTTGGGTACTAGCGTGGCGACAAACAACCTATCCAAGATGCTATGCGGCGTCTTGCAACCGGGTAAACCAGTTGCAAATCTTTACTTCTCCATGTTCAGTCATGAAGTGACCGTTCTCTCTGTGTTCCTGTCTACCGATCTCAAGATGGCACAGTATCTCAAGATTCCTTGGAGAACCATGTTCCTTCTCCAGACCTGGGGAAGCCTGTTCGGAACGGCTTTGAACTACGTCATCATGGATACGATTGTCGCCAACCGACGTGAGATTCTCCTAGACCCGATCGGCAACCAAGTTGTGAGTTATTTTCTCCTACGATCCGGATTGGTTTGCTGACCCCCATGCAGTGGAGTGGACGCAAGATCCAGTCCCTCAACACAACCGCAGTCACTTGGTCTCTAGCAAAGTACGTCTACGGTTTCAACAAGGACGGATACGGTTGGTCAGTATGCCCTACGACGATTTTGCAGGAAATGAGTCTTAACATTCGCAGGATTCCTCTCTCCATCGTGATCGGGGCTGCGATTCCTGTCGCTCTCTGGCTTGTTTCGCGAAAGTACAAGACGATTTATGGCTGGGAGGTCCGGAAGCTCGTCACCCCTGTCGTATTTCACAACGCCTCCGAGACTACATCCGGCACGACCTCGGTAATCTGGTCTCAGGTCGCCACCGGCCTGTGGTCCCAGTGGTACATGCGTCTCCGACACCCTGCATGGTTCGGCAAGTACAACTATATTGTTGGCGGTGGCCTTGATGCAGGTGCAAAGGTCATGATGTTCATCCTTACCTTCGCAGTAGCTGGAGGTTCCGGAAAAGAAGTCCCCTTTCCGACGGTATGTTCTCATAAATCATGCCAACTTTGAATTATTCTGACGAGGTAATAGTGGTGGGGTAACCCTGAGTCCAGCTCAAAGCAGTATGCTGATTACTGCGGCACTGGCTGATTATTCTGATCGTGTTGTCTACGTTCAGGGCCGGCATTTTGTTAGTTTCCCCTGCAATTGACTGCTTCATAAAGGGTAAAGCGCACAAAACACACCTGCTACCAGGCCATGGAGCATTGATCGAGGTACTTCAACATTTCAATGACATATCTGCATTACATATTATTCTTTGAGCCATCCCTCTTTTGATGCGCTTTCTGAACGAAGACGAGGGGTTATGTTCATAAGAATAGATTATAATCCAATCATATCAAGCAAACATTAGTGACCCTGGGACTTGGTTGCAGCCTGCTCACAAACATCAAGGCAGCTTCGCAATGCAAGGGAGCAAGCAACACAAGGAAGCTGTCAAACAAGCACAGTGACACCAGGATATTTCAACGAGGGCATCCAAACACTGCCGTGGTCGATGAATGGCTCTTGTCGACCCATTAAGATTACTCGCTACCCCACGTGCACTTCGAGATTCTCAACTTGTGTTCTAAGGCATGCTGACAGACGAGAGAAGAGCTGCAGCCCAAGAAGGTTCAATAATACACGACTTCGGGTTTGTGTACAGGCGGAAGCCGGAATAGTCGATGTCTCTCAGTGTACTCAGGACACACATCGTTCAGTATAATAATGGAAAGAGCGGTGTCCCATCCGCAGCAACGAGATTCTCGCAATGACCCTCTCAAAGAACGCAACCCCGCAAACGTAAGTGGAGACAGTATGTAAACGATAGTTGCCTGTAGTAATCATATTTTGCATCACAATGAATTTCAACGAGTCCGGATGTTCATATTGACACTATGTCTCCATGCTGGTCACAGGCGGGATCATATATGCGCCGCTCCTCTCCTCCTGTGTCTCGATGGTTTAGAAGGGTCCCCTGAAGCTGCCTGTTCCTCTCGGATATCCTCCAAGACGCCCCGAGCTCCCGAATTCTCGTCAGACTACAACCACCGCAGCATGGAAATCATTGCGAACTTGATTGTTATCCTCGTCGCTATTCGACAAGTGCTTGCAGCCGGAGGCTTCAACAACAGCTGTTCTGAGATCCGTTACTGGGATCCAGACAGTATCTACGGCCGAAAGAACCAGGCGTCGCCATATATCGTTGCTAGATGCATGGATTCTGGCAAAAAGGATCGCTGCAGCTGGTTACCCCTGACGGTTTGCTTCGCTAATGACGATGGCGTTTTTGGCTACAGAAAGAAGTGAGTGGTCCTGACGAACCTTCCCTTCCGCCGATGCACAGTTGAAGCACTTCCCTAGAGTTTCATCTTGCAGTATGTGCTGACGCTTTCTTAAACGCAGTGGAAACTTTGCAAAAACATGTCATGACTGTCAGTATGACAAGAGGACAACCGACTTCTTCTGTCTATGTCCAGAAAAGCCCGAGGGGCAGTTTTCTTTTCCCCGGATACTACTGAGTTCGTGCTACTTCACACTTCATCCGAGCTATGCAAGACGAAACACGCTGACATGTAAATTCTCAGATGATTATATACGGAATGAGAACGGCCTAATCTGGTGCCACAATGTGTATGGTTTTGAAGTCAAATGTAACGACTTCGAGTTCATGAAGTTGCGATTTGAAAGTTTGTAGATGGTCCTAGTTATCTATGAGTTTGATGCAGAACACCCGCAGGACAGCTCCGGGAATTATTGAATGCAATTATTTTGTGCGAAATAGTTGTATCCTTCTGTGTACAGCGGCGTCGGAGCAGCACGCAGCATCGAATGCTTTCCTTTCTGTCGGAGTCAACACCAACTCCACCCCAGCCCCTCTTGCGCCTCCCCAGTTCAGATCCCTCAGATCCCATGTTCTGTGATTGCGCCTGACAAAATGAAAAGACCTCTGCGCGCAGGTGTGAGCACAAACTTCAATGCCGATCATATCAGACCGGCGGGCACAGCTGACGCAGGCTCATGTGTCAGTTGAATGGAGGCAATTCCGTCGCTCGTACTACCTAATTTCAACGTATTTGGTCTTGCGATGCTGTTTGCGGCGTTGCAATGCGCTGATCTAGTATTCTGCAATGTTTGTGTCTTGCCAGCTTTCACATCCGAGCTTCGGCCATAATGCCATGGCATGTCTTTGTCGGTCGATTAGTTTGCTCAACAAACCCCAAGCCAACCCTGCCCTTGAGAAAACCACACCTCGCCACACTTCGAGAAACACATACCTCGATTTCAACCGTTGATGGCGTTCTTGGCCTGCATACTCTGAAGTACAAAAGCCGCCTCCGAACTCGACTCTCTCTCCCTCCCCAGACCTCGTCGTCACACACTGCCAGCATCCAGTTCAGCCACCATGAAGCTCTCCATCCTTTCTCCCGCCCTCCTCGCAGCGGGAGCCCTCGTTTCCCTCAAAGATCATTGCCAGTTCATCCGCCACATCCACACTGGTAACAGCGAACACCCGACAATCGAGTACAACTGCCCGTCTCCGAACCCCGTTGCGTGGCCGTACAGGGCTTGCTGGTACGTCGACCTTGGAAAATGCTTCATCAACGACATGGGCCAAATCCGCGCCCAGAAGGAGTAAGTCCCCTTCTCCAGTTCCCTTTTTCCTTTTTATCGGACCCGCTTACTGACGTAACATTTTGTGATACAGCGGCGCGTTCAGCAGAAGCTGCAGGGGCTGCACATTCAACCCATCCACCGAGATAATGCGATGCCGGTGCGACATTGGAAGCGCTGGAACTTGGAGGTACTCCGAGGTCAATATCAGTAAGCTACCGCACATCTTCCTTTCATCCTCTTCTCGTTTCACCTGGCCCTGTTTTCGTAGACAGTCAGTATACTGACGGCAGCCCTAGATGCGGCACTTGAATACGTTTCCACTGAAGGTGTGGGTTGCTACGGGGAGTTCTTTCAGACTGGGTGCCAAAACAGCACCTAATATTAGCTGCTTGAATCGCAGCTTGAGGAGATATGTCTGATAATTGATGTTGCCATTTCACACCGGTCGAACAACCGTGAGACCGACAGACCACATTCCTGCAGAGACTAGATTCGACGTAAGGGTAGCGGAAATGATGGGCATTGGATAGTTGCAGTACATACATTACGGGATGTTTTTAGACTGGAAGTATTTAAACTGGAAATTACACATTGGATATCTCGATCTTGCATATTGTCAATTTCGCTATCCTGAACCTTTGAAACTTCTGATCGGGGACCGAGTGATTTTCAATGAGTGCACGAAAGTCTCAAACGCCCCAAGATCGAACGAGGGCGACCGCTCGCGAGATTGCCAACTCTCAGACAAACCAAAAAGCTTCAATCACCCGTAATACACCAAAGCAGCGTGTGGCTGATACCAGAAGACGAAAACACCGCGACACGATGGGCAGCGGTTGGCATTGTACATGTTCACCACCGATGTCGATATGACCAATCATAGGCTTCAAATCCTTAGCGCCATCCCCAAAATTGCTAAGCACTACCTCCACGCCCTTCACGTCACCAAAAACACCATCCAAATACCCCGCCAAACCGCATTCACGATCCTCCTTCACACCCTCACTATCGTTCCCTCAACCCCGACTCCCCCGATCCTCTAACCGTCCAACAAGATGCCCCGCTCCGAAGAAGCAGAAACGTTCTTCTTCGCCGTCTACTCCGCCGTCCAGGAGATCCCCCACGGCAAGGTGACGACCTACGGGCACATTGCCCGGCTCATCGGAACCCGTGAGTCCTGCTTCTACCTACTACACCTTTTACCTCACCTCACCTAACCTCACATCACCTCACCTCCCCTCACCGCATACCAATCCCTTGGAATTCAATTGCAATAATCTCGAATCTCAAATCACAGTCCCAACCAAAACTCAACTAACCTCTCTCTCCCCAGCCGAACGTCCTCGCCAAGTCGGCATCTGCCTCAAACACCTCCCAACAGACCCCTCCGCCCGCTTCAACAACGAAAACGTCCCCTGGCAGCGCGTCATCAACGCCAAAGGCGCAATATCACCACGGTAAGCACTCTAATCTCACATCCATCAATCCCAACCCTTGCAGCATATATATCCCAGTTCATTGTGTGAGACGACTAACCAAATCTTCCATGTGACACAGCTCCCAGCCCGCGGGCGCAAGAAGTCAGGCCGACGCTCTCCGCGCCGAAGACGTCGAGGTCACGCAGACGGCCATGGGCGAGTTCGAGGTGGATTTCGACTCGTACGGCTGGTTCCCCGACGTCCTCCCGTCGGAGGAGGGTGAGCAATGAGTCGCCCCTTCCACGAGAGCCTTAGACAAACCATAGCACCAAGAGGCTGCACCAAGATCACCAAATCAGGAATGCAGAGCCGAATTTCAAAATTGTTCTTATTCAACCGAGTCCATCCGGTTCGGCGCGCACTAGGATTAACCAAAGGTATAAGATGTATGCTAGCCCCCCAGATCACTCCGTCTCAAGAAAAGTCTAACGAATGCCACCCAGGTTGTCCTTCCGACTGACAACCCACGACGTCCGTCTCCCGTTCCTTTTTGTCCCTCGTGCCGTCATCAGAGCACGTCGTTGGTCTTTGCTATTCGTAGACGACTTATGTAAAATGAAATAATTAAGATAAAACAGAAGAAGTGAAGGTTCAAAACACCTTGTCCATGACGCATGAGCAAAAGACGCGTAGTGGTATTGAGAAAGAGAAAACGTCAAAAACCCTCGGTAGAACGACGCAGGACGAGCCGCCAGTGTGAGAAACTCCTGCCCAGTCTCTGGGTTTCGCCATGCGTAGGGGGAATCATCTTCGGCCAGCATAAACATTTCGCAGATGCAAGAATACAATGTCGCAAAGGGGGTAGTAGTAAGAGCCAGAGAAAAAGAATCAAACAACTCCCCTTCCCGACAAAAGAAACCACTTTTTTTTTATGAAGAAAAAGAGTCCAGTCGAGCCCGGTCTCTTCGAGTGGGAAATCCCAGACAACAGGGCTTCGCCTAGAAGCAGTTGAGAGAGCCCTTCTTCTTCTTCTTGGACAGAGCGTTCATGCGCTCCTCCAACAGACGCTGCTGGGCCTCGGCAGCCTGTCTCTTCTTGCGCTCCTCCTCCACAGCGTGAAGACTCCAGCGGTTGTCCGGCTGTGGTGTCGGCGCGGGACGGTCCTTGAGCTCCTTAATCTCTGCCTCCAGATCCGTGCAGCGCTTGCGCCAGGCATCGCTGTCTGCCTTGACCTTGTTGGATTGGCGCTCGAGGTCCGTGAGAGCCTCCTCGAGGGTCTGAGTGAGCTGCTTCTCGGCTTGGAGATGCTTCTCGATGGTGCGGATGCGGGCCTCCTGGTCCTCTTGGATTTGGTTGACAGCACCATGGTGGTCTTTGCTGGCGGGCCGGGTTCCCTGCGTAGGAGTGCTCGGAACTGTTCCGTTGGGACCGGCGTTGGCACCAGGGAGGGGCGGCAGAGGAATAGCCGGTGGGGGAGAAGGCAGAGAAGCAGCGGATGAGCTCTTGCGCAGAGGCGAGCTCATTGAGTTGGATCGCTGTACGTTGCCAGAGTTGGATACCTCGTCAAGCTTGGCCTGCGTCGAGTTAGCAACGTTGATCGGCGGGGGAGAGTAAGAATCACGTACCTGAAGAGCGGCGTACTCGGCCCTAAGAGACTCCAACTCAGACTCGGCCTTGAACTTAGCAGCCTGCGCATCCTCGATCTGAGCGTTGCGCTCGGTCTGCAGCGTAGACAGACGGTTGTTGGTCATCTGAACCTGATCGAAGTTGCTTTGAAGCTGATCCTCAAGTTCCTCCACGAGACGGGAGTTCTTCTTGTTCCTGTGTTCCAGGTCTCCGATCTTCTTGCGGATAGCGGACAGCTGGTCGGGAAGAGGAGCGGGGCTTCTGATAGGCTCGCCCTCGGCGGTAAGCAAATCAGTAAGGGTCGACTTGGCCTGCTCCAATTCCTTGAGGATGTTGTCGTTAATGGTCGACAGCTCAGTGACATGCTTTTGAATCTCGCCCGACTTCTTCTGCTCCTCGGTCAAGGCCTTCTGGTCGGCGATGAGGTCATCGATGCGCTCAGTGATCTTCTCGATGCTGACGTCGAGACCAAGGGCGAATGCGACCTGGGTAGCAACCTTCATAAGATCCTCCCGGGCGTCGTTGAGCTCACACTCGAGGAGTCTGACGTTCTCGGCATGCTCATTCAGGAGAACAGCGACCTGTTCTTCGTAGCCCTTCTGCTCTGACTGCCTCATCTCCTCGAGCTCCTTGGCGTGGTTCTCTTGCAACAGCTTCATACCGTCTTGGTGGGTCTTGAGAGCCTGCTCGTGGGCAGCAATCTGGTTCTCCAGGTTCGAAATCAAGCTCTGCTGAGTCTTGGCTTGTGTCTCGTGCAGGTCACGGGCCTTGATGGCCTCCTCCAACTCCGCCTTGGTAGCTTCGTGGACGGCTTCGAGCTCGGTGACCTTGCTAGCATTGGCATCGATAGCGGCCTTGTACTCGTTGATCTCATTGCGAAGGTTCTTGACTAGGGTCTCGTGCTTCTCCTCAATCTCCTTGACCTCTTCATCACTTCGTGTAGCAGATTGCTCGGTGGTTCTAGTGTTGAGAGAAGTGATCTCAGCCTCGAGCTCCTCGATTGTCTTTTTCATCTTGGCCTCCGTTTCTTGCATCGTGTCGAGGGCGGTCTGATGCTTCGTTTGCCAGCTGACCAGTTCGGTCTGGAGTTCAGTAATCTTCTTGTCGTTCTCCTCGGTCGTTGGTACTGCTCTGGTTTGAACGTCGGAAATATCTGTGGATGCCTCAGGAACAGCAGCAACGGCAGCCGCAGTGGCAGCCGCAAGCGCAGCCTCGTTAGCTTGAGGTGATGACTCGGCGTCCTCTGCAGGAATCTCCTTCACGGCAGTTCGGAGGCTCTCGAGCTCGGCCATCAGCTTCTTTTCGCTGGCCTCATGAGTCTCCCTCATATCCCTCATCTGCTTCTCATTTGCCTCCAGTTGGTTCTTGAGGTTGGAAACGACAGACATGTCCATCGGAGAGGCCTTCAAACTGGAGCGCTCACGGGTGAGGCCAGAGATGATAGTCATCTTTGTCTCGATCTCCTTCTTGGTGGATGCAATGTCTGCCTCGAGTTCCTGGATTCTCTCAGAACGAGCGTGGAGTTCGTGCATGGCGGCGTTGAGGTTCAGCTCAAAGTTCTGCATTACATCGGGCTGCTCTTCGAAGTTCTCCGCGGCGATGTTACGGAGCGAGGCGAACGATCGGTGAGCGCGATCGATAATCATGACATTCTGGCTGGATTTGCGGCGGATGACAGGTTGTCCGCTTCGCGGCGAGGTAACCTCCAAGGCCTTGGCTTGTGCAACCTCCGTCTTGAGCTCCTCGAGCATGTCCAGAGCCTCGTGGTGCTTCTGTTCAAGTTGGGTGTACTTGTCAGCCAGCTCCTTTTCGGCCTCCTCCTTCTCGGCTGCCAACATCTTGAACCTCTCAACCTCCGTTGCGAGAAGGTCCTGGTGCATAAGATCCTCGGTCGAAAGATGCTCGGGATCAGACTCTCCCTCGGGCTTGGCTGTGGCAGTCTCCGCATCAGAGGGGTCGACGTTGGCTGGCGACTCCATGGCGGAGGACAACTCGGAAGACAAGGACCGAGACGAGAACTGGCCATTCTCCTTCAAGTCGCTCGACCGAGCATCGGAGAAGAAGGAAGGTGGTCTGGTGAGGTTGGGAGAAGTGACAGACATCATCGAGTCTCTGACCTTGCGCTCAGGGTGTCGTGACTCATCGATGGTGTCCTGAAGATCAGCGAGGGTGCGCAACGCTTCCTCGTACTTGGCGTTCAACAAGTCAAACTCGTTGATGGTCGTCTCATGCTCAACGCGTAGGTCGAGGAGCTCCTGGGTGACGTTTTCCAGCTTATCTTGGACAAACTTGGATTGGGCAGGGCTTTGTGGCGGGTACTCATGCTTGTCGGCGTTCAAGGCCTGCTCATCAGCCTCAGGTGTCTTGACTCCGTTGGTCTTCTCCCCGTTTGATCCGCCCTTCTCGCCTGAATCGACGGCTTTGCTGGCTGCTGCCTCCTCCTCGACATTTTCGGGGATGACGTCGCGGCTCATACGGCTGACATGAGAGTGACTGCGAGAGTGATCGGGAATCTGTCGTCGTGCAAGACCATTCGGGCCCTCGGTCTCGGGTTCCGGGACTTTGCTATCGCCCTGGATGTGGTCTAGTTCGGTCAAGAGAGAATCCAACTTTCCGAGCGATCGTTGGCGTTCAATCACCTGCTCGAGTCGGTCAATCTCACGCTGCATCAGCTCGGCATCCTGGTCAGCCTCTGCAAGGCGCTCTTCCAGTGTCGAGATGTAGTCCTCGCAGGAAGCCTCGTTCTCTCTAAGGCGAGAAATTTCCTTGCGCAGTTCCACAATGATTGTCGCATTCTTCTCTTCGCCAGAAGTGTGACCGTCAAGCTTGTTCTCCAGGTCGTGGAGATAGTTCTCGGTACTGGCCTCGCGATCCATGAGCTTTTGCAGGCGTGCTTGCAGTTGTGTGTTGATCGTTTCGATGTAAGTGCACTTCGTCTCCTTCTCCAACAGGTTGGCTTCGGTGTTCGACAATGTGCCGCGGGTACTCGACAGAGACTGCTCCAAGGTTTGAATGGTCTTCTCGTATTCTAAGACAACCTGCTCGACAGCGGCAGCAAAGGAATTTGATCGATTCAGTCGCTCTGTCGCAGTGTCGCCCAGTGACTCCTCAAGTTGATCGTTCTCGGCTTGCTCGTTGTCGCGGGCCTTGGCCATTTCTGCAATTAACTTCGCGTGACGTTGGCTAAGGGTCGTGTAGTTTTCCTGGGCGTCCAGCAGCTGGTTTTGCAGCTCAACTTCCCGCTCATTCTGTCGCTCGGACCTCTCACCTGCAGAGGCTGTGCGTCGCTCGCCCCCTCCCCGCTCAGCGCTACGGATTTGCTCCCGCAGGAAGGCTACTTCCGCCTTCAGACGATCAATGATAGCCTGCTTGTCACCTTCCTCAACCTGCTGGATCCGGGGCTTGCTCTGGATAGCTCGGGCCCTCTGCGCATATTGGACGGTGTTTAGCGTTTCGCTCAGATGGAACTCGGCCGGCGTCACGCAAGCAATCATATAAGTGATGGCATTCCCGCCCAGTGAGTCTTGGAGCAGACGAGTGAGCTTGGAGTCACGGTAAGAAACGTGCGATCCGGCTTGTCGTGAAGACAGTTGTGAGATGACCTTGCCGAGCGCGGCCAGACCCGCGTTGATGGAAATACCTTCCTTGGCACGCTCCCCTTGGGCACCGGTGTTCTTGAGTCGTTCACTGCCAGCCAAGTCAACGAAATGGAGTTTGCTGTCCGTTGTGACCCAGGTCTCGGATCCCGTCATAGCCTCGATCGGAACGGAAAATCGCTTGTCGGCACCATTTGAACCCTGCAGGCCGCTCTTCCGTTGCACCAAATTGAGACTGAATACGGCGTGAGACCGGGAAGACCTAGCATTAATAGCCGTCGCATCTGTCTGTCGAAGGGTCGAGCCGAAATTCAATGCATTCATGAGGTCGTCTACTGAGTTAATTTCGACTTGCCGCAGACCGGTGAGAATGATGTTGCCTTTGACATCTTCGCGAATGGTAACGTTGGTGCGCTCATGTTGTGGAACGTTGTCTGGTACTAGGAGATCTCGCAGCTGCTCATTGTAGATTTCGACGTATGTGGCCTTCAATGACCAGTTCTTCTCTGACGGTAAGCTTGATGCTCCTTGGGCAGAATATCGGTGTGGTGTCCGCAGCTGGGACATTGACCCGCGGTTGGCCTGCTTTTTTGATATGACTGGCCCGTCGAGCTTTTCGAAGAGTGCCGTCGCCGCCCTGGGAATGACACCTGGAAAGCCTGTTGTCAGCTGACGATCTATCGAAAAGGAAACCGCTTCGTGATGTACGAGTTCGAGACGTCGAGATGCGGTGCAACTTACCCATGATTTCGAGGTCGCCCTGTTCATTGGGCCCGGATGTGCCCATTGTGTACGACTTTCCAGCTCCTGATTGTCCGTACGCCAAAAGCGAGACATTGTAACCTTGGATAAAGGCGTTGACGCAATCGCTCAGATACTCCCAGATTCCCTCTTGGTCTACATCGGAGCCAAAAACACGGTCAAACACGAAAAGTTTCCTTCCTTGCGGGGAATCGATTGCTATGTTGGTGTCTGTCGTGACCTGGACCATTGATCGCTGAAATCGTTGAGGAATCAATTCGTAACCCGGGTCTGTGGGCTTGAGTGCTGGCCGAACGCGCACGGCTGCGTGGTAGAGAGTCGGTGGTCAGTGGTGTGATGTTCTGTTTGCAGGAAAAGGGGGGTAGGCGACGCGACGTCGTCACAAGCACAACGGACGACGACTCCGGCGGGAGAGCAAACTTACCAACTTTGACGGCGGTCCGGGCATCTTCGTCAGATGCTCTGCTACCACCGCCATGCTTGCTGGTCATGCTCAGGCGGCTATTACTTCTCGGTGACGGTCGCACCATGGCGCTCATCGGTCTTTGGGGTATTTGATTCCCGGGAGAGGCCGGCGGCGAGCTGGCCATGATGGGAAAGAGAAGAAGAAAGGCTTCGTACGGTCGGCGCGGAAGGAATTCGGTCCTCCTTGTATAAAGTTAGGCGCGAGGCCACAAAGTTGAACGAACTGGGGGTGTCGGGATTGTGCAATCCCCCGGGCGAGACCCTGTATCTTTGGCAGTATGAAGCACTGTTCAGAATCTGGTGCTGTTGTGCCGATGTCTCAAAAGTGTAATCGGATCGATGTGGGCGGTGGAATCAGGTGCGTGGAGAGTCCTAGTCGCGGAAATGTCGACTTCCATGCACTATTCTTATGCTTCGTTCGTGTCGTGGTCGAGGGGACCCGGTGTTTTGGTGGGAGTCGTTCGTGAGGTGATGAAGGAGCGGAAGGGGCTGCGTCTTCGTTCGCCGGGGCAGCGGTAGCGCAGCAGCGGCTTGATGAAGAGATGCAGACACGATCGTCATGCGGTCGAGAAGGAGAGATAAATATAAACAAGAGAACGCAAGAGCTCGCAGTGGCTGCTGTGGTTGCCGTTGCAGTGCGGAGCTGCTGTGCGTTGTCCAGCGTTGCTTGGGAGCGCGAGATTGTTGGAGATGTTCGCAGGATAGGGTAGCCCGGGATAATTATCTGTTTTGTTGCGCGGCGTGCTGGACCAGTCGAATTGGATGGGGTGGCGTAGGGGAAAGGGGGGGCGTGGACGGACGAGGGGAACGGGGTTCGTTCGTTCACTCGCTGCGGGTGCTGGTGCTGCTGGCTTTGCTGTCCTCGTCGCCGTGATGTGCTGTGCTGTGCTATGCCGTGCTGTTGCTCCTATTGAGCCGGTTGTGTGTGCTGGAGGTGAAGACGGGGGAGAGATGAATGGATTGGATTGGCCTGGGCTGCAGCGGACTGGCGTGGTGGTGGGTTAGCGTGGGCCAGCAAGCAGAGGGTCGGTCGGGTCAGGACAGGGGGCGACCAGGGGAAAGCCAACCGTGGGTGGTGTTTATTTCGAAAGGTCGACAGGCCAGGCACCGTCTGCAGTCTGCACAAGAGGAGAGGATGGGCGTGGATAAGGATGCTTGACCGGGGTGGGTGGATGTCTGGCAAATTAGAAGCGCGTCGGGGGTGGCTTCTGATTGGGAGGCGCGCAATGTGACGGATGCGCCCGTTCTCGCAGTCTGCGCATTCGAGTCGTCTGCTGGGCCGATTTGGGGACGAAGGCAGCGCGAGAAGAGGGTCTCCTGCTGTTCTGGGAGTCGCGCACGTCGTTTCGTTTGCGAAATATCCCGGGCGATCGTCACTGTCTCAAATGCCACGATGCCGTTTTGGAGAGAGTTGATGCCGGGGAAGAGTCAGTTTGGTGGAGGGGGGAGAAGTGAGCAATGAGGCTGGCTGGAGCAGTCCAGAAGGAGAGAAAGAGGGAGGGACCTCGGGAGCTGGAGAGGTGAAGAGGTGAAGAGGAGAAGAGGCAGACCGTGGAATACCTAACCAAACCGTGAGACAGAGAAGGAACAGCAGCAAGAAGCAAGAAAGGAGGAAAGAGGGAGCAGGAGGCAAGGAAGGAGCTACTACGATGCCTACCTTCCCTCTGGGAACCCTGAGAGAAGCATCAGAGGGGGCAGCAACGACCAACAAACAAGACAAGCAGTCACTTCGCAGCTCAATAGCAGTTGCAGTTGCAGTTGCAGTTGCAGTCGCAGTTGCAGTCGCAGTCGCAGTTGCAGGCGAGGTGGTCGGACTGGCCTCGCCTGTTTGGCCACAAGTAATCAATCGTCAGTGCCATCCCGAAGGCTTGAGGCTTAAATCAGGACAATAAGGTCACAGAGTGCAGGTCATTATTGCTTCTAATATTGCTGACGGCGGAGGCATGAGGAGGGAGGATCAGCACTGCGGCAGAGAGCCTATCCAGCGTCTCAGCCAACATGGCATTCACCACATTACATTCCACGGCCGACAACACTGCTCAACAGTACTATGCAGTAGAAACGTAGAAATGTCTACGATACTGGCTGGCTACCGTGTGCCGTGTTGGAACGCCAAAAAGGCGTGAGAAAACGGCCGAGAGTCCGGCGTTCACTTTAGCGATACAGGGTCAAGGGTCCAAGTCAGGGGTGGCCATGCTTTTGAGGGGACCGTGTTATCCAGCACCTCAGTCCAGTGGCTCCAGTCCTCCAGTCGGGGTCCAGAGGGTGAGTCTCCGAGTCTGAACCAAGACTGAGCGACGAGAAGCAAGAGCCGGGAGCTTGATCTCATTTGACAGGAAGCACTGGCTCGAATGTCTAGGGGCAGTTGGTCGCCCATTGGAATTCCACTCATGGCGTAGGGAATCCCGGCAAACACGTTTTGATGAGGCCGTCTGAGACTAAGGGCCACCGCCGTCAACAAGGGCAAGCCCGATCGAGGCGGTCGACGACCAGGAGCCTGGCTCTGAGAGAGAGATGCCGTTTAGCTTTGGTGGTGTTCCTCCAGGAATCCGCTGTCAGTCAGTCAGGGGATGGTGTCAAGTGGGAGCCGAAGCGTGAGTGCAACGCAACGCAGCTCAACGCAACGCAACAGCAATAAGTGTGGAGGGGGCCAAAGGACAGAGAATATCGGTAAAATCGAGCAACAATCAGGAAGAGAGAAAAAAACAGTGAAAGATGATGGTGGGGCGCAACTGAGGCCAAGCCACTTGGGCCCGATGTCCAGACCAGGGGAGCCTGGGGGAGGCCAGGCGGGGCATCCAGGTGCAGGCTAACCGAATGCGGCATTAGCGACTTACAGCCCCCGTCCTGGCAGTCACCAGTCGAGCAGAAAACAGAAAGAACTGCACGACCGGCGACTGCCAACTGAGATGGGTTTTGGGGCGGCAGCAGCGCAGGCACCACGAGACTGGTGACTGGTGACTGCCCACCTTTCCTGCCTTTTTATCTGCAAGGCACAGGAACGATAGGCAGGCACAGGCAGGTACAATCAGTCGCGGTTTCCGTTTCCAATTTGCAGTACCTACTAAGTATGCAGAAGGAAAGAACACGCCCAGCACCAGCACCGGGCACTGGCAGTCACGCTTGCCAAAGTCGCATCCAATTCTCATCCACACCGGACGCAGGGACCATCGTGCTGCCCTGCTTGCCCTGTGCTGCCACCTGCCCTGCCCTGCGAGATGCGGGCTGCCCACTGGCAACTGCCCACCCACCGCCGACACAACCGCACGCCTCGCCTCAGTCACAATTCCCGGTCCACCTGTTCCACTTCACTGTGAAAGGGTTGCTGGTGGATGACTTCTCGGTCCTGCCCCCAAAAAACAAGCAGCAACTTGACTGAAACGACAAAACAACACTCCCCATCCTTGTACCGGTACTTCGGTCCGCTTGCTCATCTTCTCTCGGCAGGACCCTTTCTTTTTTCTCAGGCATCTCACACCTCAGGATCCCGTCTCTCGGGTCCTTCTTACACGGCAGACAGACGGATGGATGCCGCCACAGGATAGGAAGCTTCGCTGGGCTGACTGAGAGGTTGAAAGGAAGCCGAACTCTCTATTACTGATCCTCGACGCTCAAGGTTTTTTTTTTTTTTTTTTTTTCGAAATACGCGCCTGTCGTATTACTACGTTCTCAAGTCCAACATCTCAAATCGACGCGATATGGCGGTGATTAATCGCGTTCCAGCGACCTGAAGAGCGCAGAAAGCCCCGTCCGCCTGCAGCTACGTGCGAAAACTCGTCAGATTTCTGCACCAACAATGCTTCCGACATTTCTTTTTTCTCCCCATGCGAATACATCGCCGAGGCTTTCAGGATCCGAAAGCACCGATGGAAAATGGATTGTTCAGCAGTTCGCCTGAGCTGTCCAACAATTACCACAAAGCTGCTTTGACGAATGCGCATTCCGAAGGACGCGCCGCCCTCAGTCATCGTTCAGCGGCCAGTTAATCAGCAGCCAATGGCACTGCACCGACGGCGCACCTCGACGAGCCGGTTCGCAAATATACTTCCGGCCGAGGTCCCATCTCACCAGCTCTGCCGGTTTCTGAGACGTGACAGCCATGTACCGACCGTCCGTCCCGCTGCATCCCTATTCGTACGCTACCACACTTGTACGTATCCTGGAGGGAGCCACTCGACTGCCGTGGGAGAACCAGACTGGCGGGAGCAGTCCTCTGGACCAGAGACAAGAGCTCAGCTGGTCAAGCTGTTCGTCTTGCCGAAACTGGATAAGAACGTCTGGGAGCTTGAGCTGCAACTCGAGCTGCCATTGAGCCGAGAAGAAAACGAATAGAGGCAAATGACGACGTGGCCTACTGCTTGGGGCCGCCAACCGAATCTCGGATCGAATCGTCGTTCTCGCCCATGAGCGCCTCTGCTCTTGTTCCGAGACTTTAGACAACGTCCGGGCAAGCCGGCAACACGCTGATGTGTGCTCGGTATGGATGAATCATTCCACGTCGAGCAGTAGCCCCAGGCAGACTCCATGATTCGTCCCCCAGAGTCCCCGACTCGTCGTTGATGGACAATCTAAATAATACCGGATCCGACCATCAACTCCCGTCTTGAGGCATTGATCGACCTTCCCGTCAATCTCACCCCAAACCTTATGCATCGTTGCTAACGCGCTTTCCCAGCGTGCCATCTCACCTGGCCTGCGGCTTGCATCGCCCTCCTATCGTTTGTATTTCGTAATCGGCCCACAACTGACGCCTCCATCGTATCCAACACTTTCCAAGAGCTGACAAACGTGCATTGGATCCTTCCAAGAAGAATCCTCCGAATTCTTGCAGCATATCTCAAGCCACTGCGAACTCAAAACTGTCCGCGTTCCACCGTGCGCACGTCTTCGACGTCGCCCTCCAGGGGGCATACGCAGGAAAAAGGGGTCTGCTGGCTCGCTTGCCAATCCCATCATCCCATCCAGACATTTGTTTGGCCCCCCACGAGGTCTGAGACCTGAGAACTGCGTTCTTGGACTCCGGGAGCGACGCAAGAAATCAAGAAAAAACAGACATCCGAGTCCGACAGACGAAGAGGACGGTCCGTGTGTGATCTTGAGCTGTCTTGACTTACCGCCGCTACTG